AGGAGGAGGGAGGAAGGAGGAGAGGAAGAGGAGGAGGGAAGGAGTGAGGAGGAAGGAGGGAGGAGGGAAGGAGGAGGAGGGAAGGAGGAGGGGAGGAGGAGGAGGAGGGAGGGAGGAGGAGGAGGTGAGGAGGGAGTAAGGAGGAGGGGAGGAGGAGGAGTGAGTGAGGGAAGGAGGAGTGAGGGGAAGGAGGAGGAGGGAGGAGGAGGAGGAAGGAGGAGGGAGAGGAGGAGGAGGGAGAGAGGGAGGGAGGAGTGAGGAAGGAGGAAGGAGGAGGAGGGAGGGAGGAGGAGGAAGGAGGAGGAGGAAGGAGGAGGAGGGAAGGAGGAGGAGGGAGGGAGGAGGAAGGAGTGAGTGAGGGAAGGGTGAGTGAGGAAGAGGTGAGTGAGGGAGAGGAGTGGGAAGGGGTGAGTGAGGAAGGAGTGGGTGGGGAAGGAGTGGTGAGGGAAGGAGGAGTGGAGGGAGAGTGGTGAGGGAGGAGGAGTGAGTGGGGAGGGGGTGGGTGGGGGAAGGGTGAGTGAGGGGAAGGAGTGGTGAGGGAAGGGTGAGTGAGGGGAGGTGAGGGAGGGAGTGAGGTGAGTGGGAGGGTGAGGTGAGGGGAGGAATGGAGGGAGGGTGAGTGAGGGAGGTGGGTGAGGGGAAGGGGGTGAGTGGGGAAGAATGAGGGGAAGGAGTGGAGAAGGAAGGAGTGGTGGGGAAGGGTGGGTGAGGGAAGAGGGAGGGAAGGAGTGAGGGAAGGGGAGGTGAGGAGTGGTGGAAGGAAGGGTGAGTGGAGGGAAGGGAGGAGTGAGAGGTGAGGGGAAGGAGTGAGTGAGGGGAAGGAGTGAGGAGTGAGAGTGAGGGAGGTGGTGGGGAAGAGTGGTGGGGAAGGGTGAGTGAGGGAGGAGGTGAGGGAGGGAGGGAGGAGGTGAGGTGGAGGAGGGAGGAGTGGGGAGGTGAGGGGAGTGAGTGAGGTGGGTGGGGAAGGAGTGGTGGGGAGAGTGAGTGGGAGGAGAGGAATGAGTGAGGGAGGAGGTGAGGAGTGGGGGAGGAGTGAGGGTGGGGGGAGGGGGTGAGGGAGGGAGTGGTGAGGTGGGAGGAAGGAGTGAGTGAGGGAGAAGGAGTGAGTGAGTGAGGAGGAGTGAGGGAGTGAGGGAGGGTGAGTGAGGTGAGTGAGGAAGGTGAGTGGGGAAGGTGAGTGGGGAAGGAGTGGTGGGGAAGGTGAGTGAGGAAGGGTGGTGAGGAGGGAGGGGGTGGGAGGGGGTGGTGGGGAAGGGGTGGTGAGGTGGAGAGTGGGGAAGGAGTGAAGGGTGAGTGAGGAAGGTGAGGGAAGGAGTGGTGAGGGAAGAGTGGGTGGGGAAGAGGTGAGTGAGGGAGGAGAGAGTGAGGGAAGGGTGGAGTGAGGAAGGTGAGTGAGGAAGGAAGAATGAGGGGGGAGGAAGGTGGGGGAAGGTGGTGAGGAGAGTGAGTGAGGGAAGGGTGGTGAGGGAAGAGTGAGTGGGAAGGTGAGTGGGAAGGAGTGGAGGTGAGGAAGGAGTGAGTGGGGAAGGAGTGAGGGAAGAGGTGAGGGGAAGAGTGAGGTGAGGGGAAGGAGTGAGTGGAAGGTGAGGAGGAAGTGGGGAGTGGGGAAGGGTGGTGAGGGAGGTGAGTGAGGGAGGAGGTGGAGTGAGGGAGGAGGGAGAGGAGGTGAGTGAGGAGTGAGTGAGGGGAAGGAGTGGAGTGAGGGAAGGGTGAGTGAGGGAAGGGTGGTGGGGAAGGGTGAGTGAGGGGAGGGGGGAGGGTGAGTGAGGGGGAGGGGGAGTGGTGGGAAAGAGAGGTGAGGAGTGAGTGAGGAAGGAGTGGTGAGGTGAGTGAGGGAGGTGAGGGAGGTGAGGTGGGGAAGGGAAGGTGGAAGTGAGGAAAGGGAGTGAGGAGGGAGGTGGGTGAGGTGGAGTGGGGAAGAAGGTGAGGGAAGAGGAGTGAGTGAGGAGGGAGTGAGGGAGGGAGGTGAGTGAGGGGAGGGTGAGGGAGGGAGGGGAGTGAGGAGGTGAGTGAGGGAGGGTGAGGTGAGGAGGGAGTGAGTGAGGGGAAGGTGAGGGTGAGGAGGAGTGAGGGAAGGTGAGTGAGGGAAGGTGAGGTGAGGGAAGGGTGGTGAGGGTGAGGTGGTGAGGGAAGGGTGAGGTGGGGGAGGAGTGAGTGAGAGAAGGAGTGAGTGAGGGAAGGAGTGAGTGAGAAGGAGTGAGTGAGGGGGAAGGAGTGAGTGAGGTGAGTGAGGAAAGAATAGTGAGGGAAGGAGCGAGGAGGGAGGGAGGGAGGGAGGGAGGAGGGAGGGAGGGAGGGAGGGAGGGAGGGAGGGAGGTGGAGGTGGGGAGAGTGAGTGAGGGGGTGAGGTGAGGGAAGGAGTGAGTGAGGGTGGGGAAGGGTGGAGCGGGGGAAGGGGTGAGTGGGGCAGAAGGAGTGAGGGAAGAGTGAGTGAGGGGAAGGAGTGAGTGGGGAGTGAGGTGAGGAGGGAGTGAGGGGAAGGTGAATGAAGGAAGGTGAGGTGAGGGGAGGGTGAGTGGGGGAGGTGAGGGGAGGGAGGGGAAGGGAGGAGTGGGGAAGCGGTGTGAGAAGAGTGGGTGAGGGAGGGTGAGTGAGGGAGGGTGAGTGAGGGAGGGTGGGTGAGGGGAGGGTGGGGAAGGGTGGTGAGGGTGGGGAAGGAGGTGGGGGAAGAGAGTGGGGGAAGGAGTGAGGATGGGTGAGTGAGGGAAGGAGTGGTGAGGAGGTGGTGAGGAGGTGAGTGAGGGAGGAGGTGAGTGAGGTGGTGAGGGGGAAGGGTGAGTGAGGGAAGAGGTGAGTGAGGGAAGGAGTGGTGGGGAGGGGGTGAGTGGGGAAGGAGTGAGTGAGTGAGGGAGTGAGTGAGGGAAGGAGTGAGTGGGGAAGGAGTGGAGTGAAGGAGGGTGGAAGGTGGTTCTCCCATAGCCCAAATTATCACCAGAACTTGTCAGCAAGGCTTCCGGCAAAAACATACAACACAGAAAATGTTTCAGCCAGCCACCTTGTTACTCTTGTACCACCTCCTCTCCACCCCTCATCCCCTCCTCGTTCCTGACCTGTGTTGCCAACTGCTTCTCGTCTCTCATTGGTTAGCGAATAAGCCAATCAGATGTTTCCTTCATCAGTAGCTACAACTTAACCCTCACATGTAAAGGTTAGGTTATGTCAGGTTACTGTTGCCTAGAGGAATATTTTGGTTTGTGTTAACTTACGTCGAGTTTGGCTTGGTTCTTTACGAAAAACTTTCTGGTGCATGTTCGCGGTACTTCTCCAACACAACAACCCTCACTCGACCCGGCAAGCCCTCACTCGACACAACAACCCTCACTCGACCCGGCAAGCCTCACTCGACACAACAACCCCTCACTGACCGGCAAGCCCTCACTGACAAACAACCCTCACTCGACCCGCAAGCCCTCACTGACACAACAACCCTCACCGACCCGGCAAGCCCTCACTCGACACAACAACCCTCACTCGACCCGGCAAGCCCTCACTCGACAAAGAAAAGAGAGAGAGAGAGAGAGAGAGAGAGCCTCTACAGTGCCCCAATATTACTTTGGTTCGTGGGGACGGACGGGATGTTTACCTGCAAGGTGTCTTCATGACCACGTAAGGTCCCTCATATCAACGCCTATGGACCAGTTACTGCACCACGGCCTAGTGACATCACACAGAAAGGGAAATAGGGGCGGATCCAGGAACATCAAAGGGGGGTCCAAGAAGTTATGGGTGTGGGGAACATGGCCGACAGCGAGCCCACCCAGTTGGATGGGTTGGGGGTGGTTAATAGTGTTAACATTTTACTATACAAAACGCCTGAGACAATCCTTTGTCATGTGCCCATAACCCCATAGCAAGCATGTCGTGTGGTACCTGCTACTCTCCACTCAACAAGCTATTAATAACTTGTTATTCTTACTATTATCTTATTGTTGTTCTTAGTTACTTAGGTTAATTGTATATCTATGTATGTCATTAATATGCATCATTTGTGTTCCTCTGTTAAGTCAAACCAAGAGTAGTATTAATTAGTTATAAGACTATTTGGCAACTGTCCTGAGTGACGTGATCTAAGACGCTCCTCACTCACATGCTGTGTGGCCAGAGACTCTCTCGAGTAACCGTTGGTATAGGCTATAGGTAGGACGTGTCCACACCGACCCAGTACAGACGTGCTTTGTTCAGTCATCTACAATACCCTAGTGGTATCTGGTAATTGGTGGCACGTTAGCTTAGGCCTAGGAAGGGATCCTGGTGTTAAGGAATCTCCTGTTTGGTAGGAATTAACCAGTTGGTTGTGATTGCTGTGTGTGTATTGTGATGTCTGTGTTTAATATAGTTAAACTCCTTAACGGTATATTTTCACCCTTCCGGCATCACTCTTATTTTAATATACAATCACTTATTCCCTTAAATTCCATGGTTGCTAGACAGTACTCCTGTAAGAACATAAATTCAATTATTTAATTATCTTCCCATTTGTGACTCACTCCAACTTATTCTTATTTATTCAAGTACATTCAGTTGAGTCGGTTTTTGAGGGGATAATTATTGCTGTGTTCCCTGTTGGTTCCTTTATTTGATGATAACTTGGGGTAGGTTTCACTCCCCAGGTATAAAGGGTATTGGGATCACGACACCCTTCATTAGAGAAAAAGTATTGGAGTTTTCTGTGGAAAAGAGGGGGTCTAGGTCCCCAGACCACCTCCCCTGGATCCGCCCCTGGGCAAGAGACCAGCCCCAGCTATCAACAGTAAACTATAATTTGTACGTTAAAATCGTGTTCAATCTCGTTTTATTGTTATTATTATTACTATTATTACTACTATACACACACAATCACACATACACATACCTATACACACACACACAAACATATACACTTATATATATACACACACACACACACACACACACACACACACACACTACTTACTACTACTACTACTACTAATACTACTTTGCTGTCACTCGGAATCGAGTATGACGATCATCCATCTATGATGTCACCTTCAATGGTGAGTTTTGAGTTGACTAAACAGACCGATAAGGAACCGGCAGAATTGTCCACAGAAGTTGCACATGAGGAGGACTACATCAAGTGCGGGAGGGGCGGCGGCAGCGTCTTTCCGGCATTGGCTCTTGTCTGCCTCGGTATGCAGTCGGGCCTAGCTGGAAAGTAACACCTTCTCGTGTGTTGCGCCTAGAAGAGTTACAAAGGTACTGAACACACAACAGAACTGACAGTACTGACCACACAACAGTACTGACAGTACTGACACAACAGTACTGACCACACAACAGTACTGACAGTACTGATCACACAACAGTACTGACAGTACTGATCACACAACAGTACTGTTCACACAACAGTACTGACCACACAACAGTACTGACAGTACTGATCACACAACAGAACTGACAGTACTGATCACACAACAGTACTGACAGTACTGATCACACAACAGTACTGTTCACACAACAGTACTGACCACACAACAGTACTGACAGTACTGATCACACAACAGTACTCACAACAAAACAACTGACAGCACTGATCATGCAACAGTACTGACCACAACAGTACTGACAGTACTGATCATACAACAGTACTGACCACACAACAGTACTGACAGTACTGATCATACAACAGTACTGACCACACAACAGTACTGACAGTACTAATCACACAACAGTACTGACCACACAACAGTACTGACCACACAACAGTACTGACCACAACAGTACTGACCACTACAACAGTACTGACAGTACTGATCACACAACAGTACTGACCACACAACAGTACTCACCACACAACAACTCACCACACAACAGTACTCACCACACAACAGTACTCACCACACAACAGTACTGACCACACAACAGTACTGACCACACAACAGTACTCACCACACAACAGTATGGACCACACAACAGAACTGACCACACAACAGTACTGACCAAACAACAGTGCCACTGACCACACAACAGTACTGACCACACAACAGTACTAACCACACAACAGTACTGACCACACAGCAGTACTGACCACACAACAGTACTGACCACACAACAGTACTGACCACACAACAGTACTGACCACACAACAGTACTGACCACACAACAGTACTGACCATACAACAGTACTGATCACACAACAGAACGACCACACAACAGTACTGACCACACAACAGTAGTGACCATACAACAGTACTGATCACACAACAGAACTGACCACACAACAGTACTGACCACACAGTACTGACCACACAACAGTACTGACCATACAACAGTACTGATCACACAACAGTACTGACCATACAACAGTACTGATCACACAACAGTACTGACCACACAAGAGTACTGATCACACAACAGTACTGACCATACAACAGTACTGATCCAACAGAACTGACCACACAACAGTACTGACCACAACAGTACTGACCACCCAAAACAGTACTGACCACAAAACAGAACTGACCACACAAAAGTACTGATCACACAACAGTACTGACCACACAACAATTACTGACCACACAACAGTACTGACCACACAACAGTATGACCACACAACAAGTACTGACCACACAACAGTACTGACCACACAACAGAACTTACACACAACAGTACTGACCAAACAACAGTACTGACCAAACAACACAGTACTGACCAGACAACAGTACTGACCACACAACAGTACTGACCACACAACAGTACTGACCACACAACAGTACTGACCACACAGCAGTACTGACCACACAACAGTACTGACCACACAACAGTACTGACCACACAACAGTACTGACCACACAACAGTACTGACCACACAACAGTACTGACCATACAACAGTACTGATCACACAACAGTACTGACCATACAACAGTACTGATCCACACAACAGAACTGACCACACAAGAGTACTGACCACACAACAGTACTGACCATACAACAGTACTGATCACACAACAGAACTGACCACACAACAGTACTGACCACACAACAGTACTGACCACACAACAGTACTGACCATACAACAGTACTGATCACACAACAGTACTGACCATACAACAGTACTGATCACACAACAGTACTGACCACACAAGAGTACTGATCACACAACAGAACTGACCATACAACAGTACTGATCACCAACAGAACTGACCACACAACAGTACTGACCACACAACAGTACTGACCACAACGAAGTGCTGACCACCAAAACAGAACTGACCACACAAGAGTACTGATCACACAACAGTCACTGACCACACAACAGTACTGACAACACAACAGTACTGACCACACAACAGTACTGACCACACAACAGTATGACCACACAACGACCACACAACAGTACTGCAACGTACTGATCACAACAGAAATGACCACACAAAAGTACTGACCACACAACAGTGCTGACCACACAACAGTACTGACCACACAACAGTACTGACAACACAACAGTACTGACCACACAACAATGCTGACCACACAACTACTGACCACACAACAGTACTGACAGTACTGATCACTACAACAGTACTGTTCACACAGTACTGACATCACAACAGTATGACCACACAACAAACTGACCACACAACAGAACTGACCACACAGCAGTACTGACCACACAACAGTACTGACCACACAATGATACTGACCACACAACAGTACTGACCACACAACAGTACTGACCACACAACAGTACTGACCACACAACAGTACTGACCACCACAACAGAACTGACGTACTGATCACACAACAGTACTGACAGTACTGATCACCTAACAGTACTGACCACACAACAGAACTGACAGTACTGATCACACAACAGAACTGACAGTACTGATCACACAACAGTACTGACAGTACTGACCACACAACAAGACGACGTACTGACCACACAACAGAACTGACAGTACTGACCACACAACAGAACTGACAGTACTGATCACACAACAGAACTGACAGTACTGACCACACAACAGAACTGACAGTACTGACCACCAACAGAACTGACAGTACTGATCACCCAACAGTACTGACCACATGGACAGCAGTACTGATCACACAACAGAACTGACAGTACTGACCACACAACAGAACCGACAGTACTGACCACACAACAGAACTGACAGTACTAATCACAACAGTACTGACGGTACTGATCACACAACAGTACTGTTCACACAACAGTACTGACAACACAACAGTACTGACCACACAACAGAACTGACAGTACTGATCACACAACAGTACTGACAGTACTGATCACCAACAGTACTGTTCACACAACAGTACTGCCCAACAGTACTGATCACACAACAGTACTCACCAAAACAACTGACTGGCTGATCATGCAACAGTACACCACAACAGTACTGACAGTACTGATCACACAACAGTACTGATCACCCTGTTGCGACACACCCAACAGTACTGACAGCACTAATCACACAACAGTACTGACCACACAAGAACGACGGTACTGATTACACAGCAGTACTGACCACACAACAGTACTGACCACAACAGTACTGACCACACAACAACTACTGACCGCACAGCAATTGCTGACGGTACTTTCACACAACAGTACTGACCACACAACAGTACTGACGGTACTGAATGCACAACAGTACTGACCACACCAATAGTACTGACCCACCCAGTAGTACTGATCCACACAACAGTACTGACCGCAAACAGTACTGACCACACAACAGTACTGACCACAACAGTACTGACCACACAACAGTACTGACCACACACAGTAGTGCCCCGGCCACACAGCACTGGCACCCCGACCACACAGCAGTACTAACCACACAACAGTACTAACCACGTGGTACCCACCACACAACAGTACTGACACACAACAGTACGGCCACAGCAGTACTGACCACACCAACAGTACTGACCACACAGCAGTACTGACCACACAACAGTACTGACGGTACTGATCACACAACAGTAATGACAGTACTGATCACACAACAGAACTGACAGTACTGATCACCACCACGAAGTGATACGACCACACAACAGAACGACAGTACTGACCACCAACAGAACGACAGTACTGACCACACAACAGGACGGCGTAGTGAACCCACAACAGAACTGACAGTACTGATCACGCAACAGTACTGACAGTACTGATCACCTGACAGTACTGTTCACACAGCAGTACTGACAGCACAACAGTACTGACCACACAACAGGCGGTGCCCGCACAACAGGCCACTGACCAGTACTGAATCGCACAACAGTACTGATCACAACAGTACTGACAGTGCTGATCACACAGCAGTACTCACAACAAAACAACGACGGCAATGCTGATCATGCAACAACTGCATTTGTAACCAGCAGTCTGACTTGGTACTGATCACAACAGTGCACATGGTACTAATCACGCAACAGTACTGACCACAGCAGAACGACGGTACTGATTGCACAGCAGTACTGACATTGCCATCACCTCACAGTACTGACAGTACTGACCACACAACAGGCGCGGTGCTACAGTCACGCAGCAGAACTGACGGTACTGACCACAACAGAACTGACGTACTGATCACACAACAGTACTGCCGGTACTGATCACCTAAACAGTGCTGTTCACACAGCAGTGCTGACAACACAACAGTACTGACCACGCAACAGGACTGAGGTAGCATCACACAACAGTGCTGTCAGTACTGATCACCAACAGTACTGTTCACACAACGCAGCTGCGACAGTACTGATCACAAACTAGTACTGACGGTACTGATCCACAACAGTACTCACAACAAAACAACACACGGTGCTGATCATGCCCACGTACTGACCACAACAATGCCAACAGTACTGATCACACACAGTACTGACCACACAACAGTACGCGACAGTACTAATCACAACAGTACTGACCACACAGCAGACGGCAGTACTGGTACACCGACAGTGCGGTACTGATCACACAATAGTGCAGACGGTACCCGCACAACAAGACATACTGATCCACAACAGAACGACGGGCCTGACCACACAACAGAACTGACGGTACTGATTACCTAACAGTACTGACGGTGACCATCACGCAATAGTACTGACGGTACTGACCACAACAGAACTGACGGTACTGATCACAACAGGGCATTACTGACCCACACAACAGAACGGCAGTACTGACCACACAACAGAGCGACGGTACTGATCACCAACTGTACTGATGATTTGATCGCACAACAGTACTGTTACACAACAGTACTGACAACACTAACAGTACTGACCACACAGCAAGAACGACGGTGCGGTACAACAGTACTGTTCAAGCAACAGTGCTGACGGTGATCACACACAACAGTACTGACGGTACTGATCTACAACAGTACTCTGACAAACAGCGACAGTGCTGATCATGCAACAACTGACCGCATTGCTGACAGTACTGATCACACAACAGTACTGACCACACCCACAGTACTGACAGTACTAATCACACAACAGTACTGACCACACAACAGAACTGACAGTACTGATTTACGACAGTACTGACCACACAACAATTACTGACGGTACTGATCACCCAACCGTACTGACCACCGCAACTGCTGACAGTGCTGACCCAACAAATGACAGTACTGATTACCAACAGTACCTGACCACACAACAGTACTGACCACACAACACATTTGAGACCAACCTGTGACCACACAACAATACAACCACACAACAATGACAACCTTCAGTGCATACACCCAGGTACAGCCACACCTCAGTACTGACCACACCAGTACTGACCACACATTTCATCCATTCTGTCATTTACCTACTGTAACTCTAGTACAAAAGGTAGGTTAGGCCCATTAGGTAGGACAATTGGTAGGGCCTTGACGTGACATAACGATGTTAGTCAGATGGCAGAGTGACCACACTACGCCACACAACACCTGTTAACACCCCTTAACCAAACACACTATCACCACACAACACCTGTTAACACCCTGCTCAAACGCACTATCAGCCCCCAGCATATAATAACACATATCAAACACTATCAGCCCCACACATATTTAACACTCATATCAAACACACTATCATTTACAACACATATTTAACACCTGCTCAAACACACTATCAGCCCCACAACACCTGTTAACACCTGCTCAAACACACTATCAGCCCCACAACACCTGCGTCTTGGATTTAATCGTGTTAACCAAAATTTAAGTAAATAAGTTATTTAAAATTAAGTATTTATTTAATTGTTACCTTAGTAGTATGTTCATTAGATCATGTCTGTTTGTTGTCTTGTGTCATTTGTTAAGTATATTTGCCTCATATATAGTGTGCTGCAGTCTGTGTGCTCTCTCCTGCTCATCCTTGAGCCTCAGGTGAGCACAACACACTATCCTCTACGTGTCACACTTCTTCTTAACACTATGGAAATGTTTGGGCTTAAACTGTCCTTAATAAACACACTGGTTCATTCATATTTTCAATCCATTTCCATTTTCTCTTTATATTTCACAGCTTATTTCAGTCGCAGTTGAATTCACTTCCTCCATGGTTACATTAATCATACATGTGTGTCACTTGTATATGGTATAACATTATTTGCTTACAGTACAAAATGTAAAAAGCACGTGAGGCAGGCCAAGCTGCCAGGCACGTCCGTCCCACCACGTAGCCATAGCCCGACTGAGCCTGCAGAGCCACCCAGCCAGCACTAGGCACCTCTGGTCCTGACCCTATGTTGCTGCCTCCCTGCCTTCCCCCTACCCCTCCTACTCTCACCTGCAAACTACCTGCCTCCATCCTTCACCTGGTGCAGCTGCCACCATCACCACCACCACCACCACCATCACCACCACCACCACCACCACCACCATCACCGCCACGTTGCCACCAGCCCACTCACCACCACCACCAGCACCGCCACCTGACCACCAGCACCTGCCACCACCATTGCCACCACCACCACCCACCACCACTGCCACCACCTAACCAGCAACAAGGCCCCACCACCACCACTACCACCAGCAACAACAGCACTGCCCCCACCACCACCACCACCTGCCACCCATTCTCCACCGCCTACCCGCCACTACCGCCACCAACCAATAAGGCCCACCACCACCACTACCACGTTCGACCGCCACCACTGCCGCCACCACCACGCCGCGCCTCACCAACAACCAGGCCACACCACCACCCTGCCAACCAGCAACAACAGCACTGCCCCACCACCACTCACTACCCGCACCACCATCCAGCAACCAGCGGCCCACACCGCCGCCACTGCTGCGCCACCGCAATAACAGCCTTTACCTGCCACCGCCGCCGCCCCCCCACCGCCACCACGCCACCCACCGCCGCCACCACCAGCGCTGCCGCCACTGCCAGGATACTTACCACCCCGCCACCGCCGCCTGCCGCCAACATGCCACCACCTGCCCCCACCGCCGCCGCCAGCACCACCACCAGCACCTGCCTTATGACACTGCCGGCGCCACCAACCAGCGACGCCCCACCGCCGCCACACCAAACAATGCCCCCACCTGCAATACCCCACCGCCGCCACTATCACCACCTGCACCTGCTGCTCCGGCCGCCACCGCCTGCCACCGCCTGCACTGCCCTGACAACCAGCGTCACCACCGCCGCGAACAGCAACCAGCCACCACCGCCGCCAGCGTGCCGCCGCCGCTGCTGCCGCCACCACAATGCAACCAGGCCCCACCACCAGACCAGCAATAGCCCCCACCGCCAAGACCGCCACCACCGCCATCACTGCCGCCACCACCGAGCAAAGCAACAACGCCCCACCGCCTGCCGCACTGCACCACCACCACCTGCACCGCCAGCACTGCCACCACCATCACTCTTGCCACCACCGCCACCAGCGCCGCCAAGCACCCATCACCGCAGCCACCACCCCCACCAGCATTGCCAGCACCACCTCTACCGCCACCACCACCCACCGCCACCAGCACCACCCACCACCACCACCACCAACACCAGCGCCACTACCCCACCGCCACCACCCCCCACCACCGCCACCAACACCAGCCACCTGCACCCACCACCGACCGCCAGCACTACCCGCCACTGCCAGCACCACCCCCACCACCACCACCACCCAATCTTACCAACACCGCCAGCACCCCCACCGCCTGCCAGCACTCAATACCACCAGCACTGCCAGCACCACCCCCACCACCACCGCCATCACTTTCTACCACCACCACCAGCCGCACCGCCACCGCGCCGCAGCGCCACTTGCCTCCAACACCACGCCGCCCGCCACCGCCAACCGCCGCCGCCACACCACCCACCGCGCCTGCCAGCGCTGCCAGCCTGCCCCCACCTCCACCCCCTGCCGCCGCCAGCGCCACCCCCGCCGCCGCCGCCGACGCCGCCTTGCTGCCCGCCGCCTGCCGGCATACTTTGCCGCCGCCGCCGACGCCTTGCCGCCGACGCCGCCTGCCAGCGCCTTTAATCGCCAGCCTGCCGACGCCCGCTGCCCCGCCCCCTGCGCCAGCTGCACCCCCGCCGCCGCCGCCAGGCACTGCCGCCACTTATTTTCTTCCGCCGCCTGTTGCTTTCACGCCAGCGCCAGACGCCCCCACCGCCCCGTCCACCGCCGGCGCGCCTGCCATGCTCTTTCTTCACCACTGACCAGCAATGCCCCCGCCGCCACCGGCAGACAGGCGCCCCCACCACCAGAATGCCACCGCCGCCGTCGCTTTCTGCCACCGGCAACCAGCAACCTTTTACCACCACCGCCAAATCCACTGCCACCGCCACCACCACCTGCCGGCACTGCCGCCGTCGCCTGCACCACCACCACCAAGCACCACCAAGCACCCTCACCGCCTGATACCGCCCCCGCCACCAGCCCTTTCGCCAGCGCCTTTACCGCCGCCCCCCACCACCTGCCAGCACCGCCCCCACGCGCACCAGCGCACCAACTGCACCCCCACCGCCGAAGCACTGCCAGCACTGCCAGGCACTTTACCCCCCGTCACCGCCAGCTTCTGCCACCGCACGCTGCTCCACCGCCTGACCAGCAACCAGCACCACCGCAGGCCAACCAGCACTTTACCACCACCACCACCAGCTGACAGCACCCACCACCAAAACCGCCCCCCACCACCTGCGCTACCAGCGCCAGCCGCACCACCACCTGCCAGCACCACCCCCACCCGCCACTGCCACCACCACCACTGCCTGCCAGTGACAACGTCACCACCTGATAAAACCAGCTTTCCTGCCACAGACCAGCAATAATTTACCACCCACCAGCACAATACCGCCACCGCTACTGCCGCCGCAGGCCAGCGAACCAGCCCTTTACACCGCCACGATATTGACGCCCCCCACCGCCAGAGACCACCACCGCCGCCGTCACTGCCGCGCCGCCGACAACCAACAGCAGCGCACCACCACCGCCACCATCACTGCCTGCCGCCACCACCGCCTTACCAGACGCTACCGCCGCCATCGCTGCCACCTGCCGCGCCAGCACCAGCGCCCATCGCCACCACCAGCCGCCACCCCCGCCACCAGCCCGCTCTCCAGCACTAACACCTGCCGCCGCCACTTCCTGCCGCCAGCACCGCCCCCACCACCGCCGCCGCCAACCCGCCAGCCACCCCCACCGCCTGCGCCGCCACGCGCCCATGCCAGCGCCTGCCGCCTGCCCCTGCACCACGCAGACACTGCCTTCCACTGCTTTCCAGCCGCCCCACCACCACCGCCGCCCACGCACCGCCAGCGCCGCCACCCCCCACCACCACCAGCGCCACCCACACGCCACCACCAGCGCCTGTTTGCCCCCACCACCACCACCATCACTTCTTCGCCTCCGCCGCCGCCAGCTGCTGACATCGCCGCCGCGATATACTTCCGCCGACGCTATGACGCCACTTCGCCACCGCTGCCATTTACCGCCGCCGCCGACCATACTTTACCGCCATGATATCGGCTATGGGCCTTAACCCCCGCCGCCGCACCTGCCAGTTCCTTTGCTGCTGCCAGCCTGCCGCCGCCGACGCCCCCGCCGCCATTTCGCAGCGCCTTTAAATCACCGGAACCTTTCTTGACGCCATGCCTTTACCACCAACCGCCGCCGACCGCTGCTCTTGTTCTTCCTGTGACTGCCGCCAGCGCCTTCTGCCTGTTTTCCGGCTTCGCTTGCTGTTTTGCCGCTGCCGCTGTTTG